ACGTAGTTCTTGATTCCATACAACTTGTAAGGAGTCCTCTGATTTGCTCGAACGATGTCCATTGTTTGGAGGGGTCCCGGTCCATCCTTAGCATTTTGACTTTTAAGGTTTCCGTGGGTTCTTTGCACGAGTTGCCTCCTTGGTTTGCGCAATCCTTTACGCCAAACATCCCTAGTCGGTTGTATCGTAGGATCCAACTTCAATTGCTCGTGCAATGTAATTGATTGTGATTTCCCGATGGTGTCTCGTGCGTCAACGTAGGACACTATGTTTGGGTGGTCCATGGTTCCTTACCCAAGACTCACATTCCTCAATCGAGGCACAAAAGTGCGCCACAAATCAATAAAATGTGGGGTTAAGGAATCAGCACATTGTACCAGTGGGCGCGAGGTGGGCGGTCGTCCGCCTGCCAAGCTCCTGCCAAGGACCCGCCAAGGTCCCGTCAAGGACCCGTTGGGGACCCGCGGGAAAGTGACTAGAAATAGTCAATTCCTTCGGGAAAGACCCCAAAAATGCACAGATTCATGTCCTGACGAGTCCCATGCCCTTGTGCACAATAAAAGGGACTTGGATACATAGGATGACCCATCGTACAATGTTCATTGATCCTTAAGCACGAGTTCTAGAGGTAGATATACATACATATATATATCTATGTTTTCTTGGTCTGGGTTTAAAGGGGTGTAAGAAGTGCAAGGGCTAGGTTTCAAAGTCGAGGGGCGGATAGGGTCGATGTCTCAAGGTTGTAATACAGGAAGGAAGGTTGCCACCTTGTACGGGTTTGTTTGTAATGAGGGATCAAGAGCGAGGTTTGGTGTGATAGGACGGATTCTTTAACGAAATGGTACTTGATTGGCAAGGGGAGGGAAAGGGGCTAAGGATTCTTGGCTTCGAGTGATTATGCCTGTTTGGGGCTTGGTTGTGGCGTGCAGTCGAACTGGTGATCCCTTTTCCTTGGCTTTGTTTGATTCTAAGATTTTCGTTTGATCTTCCTGTGTGGAAGTCCCCTTCGTCTCTATGGCTTCTAGGGGAATTCTCGTGATGGTTTCCGTGCACGTTCCCCTCGGATGTCCAGAAGTCTGGACCTAGTCGGTTTAGTGGGTCAAACCCCTAGGTCTTGACTCTTAATCCTTGCCGAGGGTTCTTAAGGGTAAGGGGGTTTCGGGTTAGTCTTTCTTGTTCTATTGGGTTTCATCCCTTCCTTGGTGGATGAAATTCTTAGCAAGGCTTTATTTCCTCCTTGAGGTTCGGCCTGTTGCACCTATTTGACGATGTTTTCTGTAGCGAGGGCCCCTGACATATTGAACGTATTTGTTTGCCCGCTCTTGTCAACGCATGGCGTTCCTCGGTGGCGTACGTACAGGCTATGGTTCCTCGTGAAGCCTTCACGGTTTTCGTGCAAGGGTGGGGTGATACGTATTCGTAACCTCCACCTACTTCGCCGATTCCTATCTAACAACTTATTTTAATATTGAATCAATGAATGTCGGTTCTTCACGCCCCTGGGCAGGGTAAGGGCCTTATGCTGCTCTACGGTTTTTAACAGAGTTTCCAAACGGAGTGGGGATATGAACTTAGATTAAGGGCAATAAAAATTTAGGGTTTCCGAGGGTTTGGGTTAAGCGCAACAAAGGGTGAGCAAGGTCATGACGGTTGCGAATTTGCTCTTAAGGTAAATAAGGATTCGGGGTGGGAGTTTTCAACAAATAGGGGTATCAAGATGCTGGGGTTTCAGGGCGGATGATACTTTAAATTGGGGTGGTGGGGTCGCAAGGTGTCGCGATATACTTACCTTGCACCCAAGGATTCGACTAATGGTGTCGTTCCTTTGCTACTTTAATAGGTGTCCTAGTTCTCCTTCCTGTTTGTTGTAGCCGCAACCCGGGTTTGCCGAGATAAGGCAACTTGTCGGAAGGTGCACGTCATTTTTCTGACTCGGGGGTTATCGTGGTTACCCTGGGCTGGTGCGTATTGCAGTCCGTCCCTTTTAGCAGTCCTGACTGTAACGCCTCTTCTTAGTAGTCATCCAAATCTTCCTTTTCTTTGGTCAGGGTCCTTGTCAAGTCTTTTGACGGGAGTTAGGACGAGGTGATTTACCGGGTAAGTGTACGTTACCGCGTTGTGGAAGTAAACTTATCTATTCGCACCCTTACCTGGTGTGGTAAGCGTAGGGGAAGGTTCCTTAAATTAGTGAGGGATAAAGTGAGGGGAGGTTATGTGTAGGTTTCACAATCTCACCGCGCGTCCTAAGATTCCTGAGTCCTATGTTCCTAAATACCTAGAGTTCAAGCTTAATGTCTTAAAGTCCGGTCTTAAGAGTTTTATCCTAGGGTGAAACTTAGGCTCTGATACCAACTGTAACACCCCAGATTTTCAAGACATTTAAAAACTTATATAGCAAGGGTATTATCTCATTAAATCCCAAAACGTAATACAAGTGTACGGGGTGCTATGCCACACCTGAGCTAGAGAACCCAGGTGCACAGGCTAACTAACTAATATCCTCAATAATGTAAATGCATAATATGGCACGCAGGCCGAAAAGGGAACTATCTACTTCTACATTCCGAGTTCTAGCGCGCTCCAGTGACTTATTCTTCTGTGCCTGAAAGCCAAATATATCTGTTCAGCGAGAGATGCTGGTAACCCACTCCAACGCGTTGAAATACAATACATATAGAGATATATATAGATATACGAAAAACCATTTTGAGCACGAAGATATATCCTACGAACTCTAGCTTTAAAACCGGGAATGACTCGACAGATAAGGCTAGACACAAGCAACAGTTATAACGAGCATATGCAGTTCACAACAGATAAGGCAGATAAGGCAAATCATAAACAATAATCAGAACCCAACATGAACAATCCCCAATATAAATCCCATAGTCACATCCCCCAAGATACTCGTAATCACAACTCATCCATGTCACAACACATAACACACTTTGTTGGCGCCACAGGACCAATCGCATGCCCATACATGAGGGTCAGCGCATATAGCTCTGACACGGCCCCGCAGCACCCTGCCCCGTATCGCAACACGGAGGGGTCGATCGCAACCGACCAATGAACCGCAGCTCATAAGAATGTGTAATCTGACTGTAGCCAGGAATTCCCATCTGACTACAGCCAGCCTCCGAACCGCTGCTCGGGAAAATGTCATCTGATTGCAGCCAGGAATTCCCATCTGACTACAACCAGCTTCTGGACCGCTGCCCAGGATACCGTCATCCGACCACAGCCAGGAATTCCCATCTGACTGTAGCCGGCTTCTGAACCGCAGCTCAGGAATAACCAATCCGATCGCAACCGAATTGGGGTAACACGCACACATAACACATAGCAAGCACATGCAACCCACATTACACGTTGGGAAGGGGAATAAACGTATAAATAAACCTATGCGTGAACCATCACCAACTAAGAATAGTCCTAAGGGGTTCATACTTCTTCCTCCTAGGTCAACCGGGTACCAATTCAACTAGCATGCAATATAATCGACTCGTAAACCTACGAATGGTACCCGAAATACCAAACTAGACATAGGCACGACAAACGGGGTCCGTTGGGACACCACGGGGATCGGGGAAACAACAAACGGGGAAGCCGGGGTCCCGAGGGGGGGAAGGATTCCAGCGGGTAGCCGGTGGGTGGGGGTCACCCGCCGGCTGCCCGCCGGGCAATACTGTTCCGGGCAGCGGGTCACCGGCGGGCAGCTGCCCGCCCGCCGGCTGCCCGCTGCCGGAACAGTGTTCTCGGCCGTGGGTAGGTGGCGGGTCCCCTACCCCCCACTGACTCTTTTCATCAACTTTTCGCCCCGGGAACCAAAGTGGAACCCGAAACCATGCTTGGACACTTTACAACGTAATTAACGGCAACACGTAAACAATTAACGGATCAAATACGAGAAACGAACGGCACATACCCTATCATGCTTTTCTAAACATAATCAACACCCAAACATGCGATTTCCCCACCCGAAAACCCAAGAACAATATCATACGGTACAACCTAGGGTTCTAATCACTTTTATATCAACAAGAATACGATTCGCCTTCTAATTGCAAGATTCGGTAAGAATAACATATAATCCCCAAGGATACCAATCAATCATCAAAAACACCATAATTGCCAAGAACAATACATAATCATCAAGAATCCCAATTAATTATCAAGAACATCATAATTATCAAGAAACTCCCAATATCAAGATTATCAAGATTCCTCATTATATCAACATCAATAACAATCACAATACTCGCCATTCACAATAATATGGGGAAACCCTAAGGGGAAAACCATAGCTATGAAAATAGGTTTTGTTGAGACATGGGTTACCTCTTAGCCTTAATTAATTCCTTGGCTATGAAGGATCTTTCTTTAAGCTTCCTTGCTTTCTTGATTTCTCCTAAGGGGATTCTTGGAGCTCTTTTGGGGGTGGTGGGGCGTTATTCTTGTGGGGGGTTCTAGGTGCCTCTTAAGTCCCCTATTTATATATTTAGGAGTCCTGGTTAGGAACTAATATTATAGGCTTGCTAATTCTATTCCTTTTGGAACTAAGGATTGGGTTTAGGGATAAGGGTCCATGGCCCATAGTGGACCATATTAATTAATTAAAGGGAATCCTAATCGTAGTCTGAATAGTAAAAGGCCTACTTCCTTTATTCCTAATAGATAACTAGGTCTAGGATTCCTAATTAGAATCTGAATAGTAAAGGGTTTACTTTCTTTATTCCTAATAGGCTTAGGACTCTAATTTAGGCAAGGGTCCACGGTTCATGGTGGACCTTTATTAATTAATTAAAGGAAACCTAACCGAATTAAATCATATTTAATTATTATTAACGGGATTAATTTAATAATTAATCGGGATTGAAGGCCGTAACACGGGGTGTTACAGTTACATTTCTGCTCCATTTAGTAAGGGAGAGAGATGTTGATTCTAAGTTGGCCATTAACTCTCGATCGTTCGACCAGGATGACTGAATGCATGCCTGGAAGCTGTAGTGTGAGGCCCAGGCCAAATTGAATTTGAATCTGGAAATGCGCTGGTGAGGAGAACCATTAGCAGTGGATATGAGGAGTGGGGAGTGATCTGATCCTAGCATCGGTAGGTGGCGAACATTTGCTCCAGGAAAGAGGAGGCTCCAATCTGTACTACATAGCGCACGATCAAGCCTGGCTCCCTTGAAAGATGGTGTATCCATGCCCCTTATCCAAGTGTATGTGGAGCCTGAGTATCCTAGATCGATAAGGCCTTCTCTATAAATCCAATCATTGAAGTCGGAGCAACGCGAAGCAGAGAAAGTACTTGTGCTGCTGACTTCTTCTCTATTCGTAACAGAGTTAAAATCCCCCACTGTTAGCCAAGGAGCTTGGGGATGGAAAAATTGTCCTGACAGATCTGTAAATAGACGCTTCCTCAAAGACATGTTGGGACTACCATATACTGCAGACATAACCCATGGCGCCAGACTATTTTCAGATACCTGAAACGAAACAAATTGTGGATGAGTGTACAGGATATCTATTTTGATAGGATCAGTCCAAAGCAACCAAATACCCCCAGAATATCCCACAGCTTCTACTCTAATCCAATCTAAAAAACCAAGACTTGAACAAATAACATTTGCTCGGGCCCCTGAAACTTTGGGTTCGTAAAGGCAAACCAAAGAGGGTTTATGTAGGTGCAAAAAATATTTTAGGGTGCGCCTAAACGAGGAGGAGGCAGCACCTTGGCAATTCCAAGACAACACTATCATAAAGACAGAAAAAGTTAATGAAAAAGACGAGAGAATGTCTATTGACGCGGAGGGACTTCCCTATCAGAAACCATTGGGTCACATTGACCAGTATCGTCCAGCATGGCCACCACATGAGTTGGTTCCAAGGCCGGATCATCAACCTCGTCTGGCGGGACTTCCTTAAAGGTGTTCTCAAAATCAGCAAGAATGGGGGTGACCTGGTTATCATCACCGTGAGACACCGTATAGGTGATGATATTACTTCCCCCACTTGATCCCCTGACCACTGTGTGCTCTTGCTGGGCGGCAGCCCTATTCGGATAGAATCCTCTGCCGCCTCTCCCCCTAGAAGCGGTCTTGGTGGAAGATTGCGGTTGACGAAAAGGCAGCGGAGGTTCAGAAGGCCCGGGAGTGAATTGAGGATCTCTATGCTCCGAGCGTTGATGTCATCCCCGGTAGTTTGTTCTTATTCTGGGGAGTGGGATGGTAGGATGCTGGTCCACAAGAGAAGCTGGCTGGTCGTTGGTATCATTGAGGTCCGCTAGGGGCTCAAAGCGAGAATTCGTTGGAATATCTGCCGTCGGAGGTTGCGAGGAGACCGGCGCTACATTCTGGTTTACAGCACCCTGAGTCGAATTGTTATGAGTGGGAGCTCTGTTGAAATTTCTCCTATCCCTTCTTGTGACAAGCATCCAAGGCCCATATTTATCCTTGGGTTTCTATACTTGGCTAACAGGATCCGGTGTGGGATTGGCCATGGTTACGTCAACACCAGAATCGACAGGGAGAGATGCATCTTCCCCGCAATGTTCCATACGGTGGCTGTAGATTCCACATTTGAAGCAAATCTGGTGGATCCCCTCGTATTCGATAGGCCATTCTGTACCATTGATTACGAAATTTGACAAGAGAGGCTTGGATATGTCCAGTTCGGCACATACCTTTGCGAACTTCCCTTTGGAGGCTAAACCAGAGGTGACATCGATTTTGATTGGCCGGCCGATAACTTTCCCAATCTTCTTCAAGAAATCATCGTCGAAGTATTCAATTGGGAGGGAGGGGAAACAAATCCATGCCAGAAGCTTGTCTAACTTGCTATTCCTTGGATCAAAGTTGGGCCTCCATTGCTGGGTAACCAAATAGTGGTCAAGAACCATCCAAGGACCACCATATTTAGCTGCGTCGTAATCTGCTAGGTATTCGAATTTGGCTATGAAGTAATCGTGTGTGAGAGCAATCAATTCGAACCCGACTTCCGTTCTCCACATACGCTGCAGTCGTTGTAGAAGAAAGGAATAGCCGACTGTCCGTCCAAGAACACGCAAAATAAGCGAACGCCGCCATGGACGCCGAAGTCTCTCCTTCTCTTCTTTGGTTACCAAGATAACCGGGTAGTCGTATGTTTTGCCATTAGCCTCCATCTCATCGTCATCCGAGTCCGCCTTGTCTTCAGTAGCCGGTTGGGAGGGTCTTCGATTCCATGGATTGCTCGGAGTCGCAGCCGGAGATCTTCCTTGGGCGGAGTCCGGTGTGCTTGTTCTTTGTCCGACCGATGTCTCCATTAGACCTGAATCGGGGGGAAACTGGAAATTGATATCCGTTGAAGCTCTGCCTCTTTTGGCCCTTCTTGTACTCCTTTCAAGTAAATCTTGTTCTTCCGGCGACCGATTGGTCGCCATCGGCGAAGAGAAATCCGAAGGGGGTTCCGTCGACATCAAGCCGCTATTTATATTTCCACACCGACCCTATATTCGATCATAAATTTGAAATTAATTTCATAATCTAAATTAAATTTCATAAATCTCAAAATTTAACGTAAAAATAAATTCGAAACCCAAACAGATTGGGACAATAAAGCGTTCGGACCAATGTTACAAAATACGTTAGGCACCCAAACGGATTGGGACAATAAACCCAAACGGATTTTTTATTTTTTAATTTTTTTAATTTAAAAAAAATTAAAACTAAAAATTTTAAAAATTCACTAATAAAACATAAGGTTCCTCTAGTTTTTTCTTACAAACTATTTACGTAAGTGATTGTAAAATTGTTCAAAGTGTTGTTGAAACCATCTAAATACATAAATAAAAAAATTAAAAGCAAAAGAGGCATTTTTTTGAGAACTTCCATCTTTTTGAGAAATTGTTCAAAGTATTGTTGAAACTATCTCGAAAAAATACGCGATTTGAAAAAAAAATTGTCCAAAACGAATAACCGAGTTGAAAGTTATGCCTTGACAAGGTTTCTACACTTTACAACTAGTAGAAACTTCAAAAGTCAACACTCATATCTAGTAAATGGGGTATTTTGGTCATTTGATGCTTAACCGCGGATTATCAACCCTAAAAAAATATTAAAAAAAAAAAACAAAAACAAAAAACGGCTAGATCAGCCGGCTAGGCGGTCTAGGCGGCTGCCTAGCCGCCCGGCCGTGGAGGAGGCCGATTCCAGCCGTTTTTTTAAACACAACATTATATTCTTCCCTAGCCTCGGCGTGATTTTTGCAACACTGGTTCCAACACAACATTATATTCTTCCCTATCCCTATACAAGAGCCACGCATGCAACCGTGTTTTTCTTTGTTCAATTCGTTGCGTCAAAACTTTGCGAGCTTCAAGTTTCTTCCGAGACAAGCAATGGCTGCGTCTCAGACCGAGATCGTGGAGAGCCTCAACCTTCGCATGTTCAGGTGGAGAGAGAGTATGTTGCTGGACCGCTTTTCCAAATGCGGCGTTCTCGTCATCCGGATGAAGCGGACTAATACTGTCTGTGTTGGAAACCTCAGTTTTCGAGGAACCCGATGTGCAGCTTTTCGATCTGGTTTTGGAGTACTTGCAGCAGATGATCTACGCCGCCGTTGTTGCCACCTGGTTCTTCTTCCCGGAAACTGCACCGTTCTTGGCGGGGACGGTTTCGGATTGCTTGAGAACTAGGGTTAATGTCTGTCAAGAAACCTTGCTGTGTCTCGGGAAATCCAAGGTTGTTATCATTGTCGATGTCGAGGCGAAAAAAGTGTTTTCGAATGTTGAACCAACAGAATCATTTGTACGAAGAACTACTGTGCTACAAGGGTGATATAGATGAAGAAGAAGACGAAGATGAAGAAAGGGGTCTGATGATTTCTGTGAATGAAGTTGAGGGGACGATGATGGAAAGGGAGGATTCTAATAAGAAAATGCCGGAATTTCTTAGACAAGGTTGTGTTATTTCTAATGAGTTTTAAGAATTTCAAGAAGTGAAAGGTGGATTGAAGATGGAGCGAAGGGCTAGTTTCTAATTTACTTTCTTCATTCAATTTTAGGAAACTTGTGATTTTTTTTTAGCAAAGAATCGTTTATTGAGGAATAGTTTGGCGGGCAGCAAACCCCCTATAATCATACAAGAGAGCCAATTTGGCTTTGGTAGGCAAAGCATTAAAGGAGCGAAAGATCGAGGGAGTATTAGCGATCAAGCCTAATTTGTTCTTTAAATTTTGAATAGCCATTTATTTGTTCTGTATACTGCATTAATATAATGGTGAGTAAGAAACTAATGTCTTTGTTGAAATTGATGTTATGATATGTTACTGTACGTCCTTTCAATTTTGAATGCCAATTTATTTGTTCTATTGACTACTGCTGCTGGTGGATATAAGATTCTAGTTCCATTGTTGATGTAATGAAGAATAAATTTCATTTTTTTCCCTGACTATTATATATGAATCATATTTGGTCATTGATTATTATAATTTTTTAATTGGATATAATTATGTAATTTGTATCACATTTTGGTTATGCTGTCCAATTTCCTGACTAACTACTATTGTTAGAAGTGTTCCTCCGGGAAGAAGCAAATGCAATGCTCTTTCAGAGTGCTCATTCCGAAAGAAAAAAATGCAGTGCTCCTTCCAAAAGTGCTTCCTCCGAAAAGAACACTTCCTGCAATAGTTGGTTGGAAAATTGGACAGCAAGATCAAATGTGATACAAATTACATAACGATGCACATAATTAAAAAAATTTAATAGTCAATGACCAAATGTGATTCATGTATAATATTCCATGGACCAAAAGTGAAATTTTCTCTATAATTTTTTTAAAAAAAGAAAAATAATTTTTTTTTGTTTTTTTTTGTTTTGTTTTTGTTTTTGTTTTTGTTTTTTTTTTTTTGTTTTTTTTTTTTTTTGTTTTTTTGTAACTTCAATCTAACATATCTATAGTATCCATTCCGTTTGGAATGGTAACAGTAATACCATCAAATTACACAAGAGTATGTTTGGCAGAACTTATATTATAGCTTATTTAATTTTAAGCTACTAATAAGCTATAAGCTCTGTTTTATATTATTTATAATTAATATTTGTGTGTATATTCACACACAATAAATCAATAATCATATTAATTGGTGATTTGATAATCACAAGGTTACAAGGTTGACTACAAATCGAAGTTACCTATTATCTTTCTTGGTTTGAGCCTATCAAGTAAGACCTCAAAAAATAACAAAACATATATTCTCTCATAAGTTTAGAGGTGGCTACATTTGCAAAATTCAAATATATATCAGACCTTTGGTTAAACTGGAAGAATACATATTGAGGGGTTTATATTGCAATTCCATTTAGGAAAACTAATTAATGGATGCATCTCATGTTATGCAAAAACTATGATTGAATTCTTAAATCGAAAAATGGTGAACTTTATCAACCATATACAATGAGAATTTAGATATATTTCAAAGAATAATTCAACATATAGACCAATTTACATATTTTATACATGACAGTTCAAAGATCATTCTAAATAAGCTCCATCATCCTATCCTATTTTATTGGAGCTAGAAAGGCTACAATCAGCAACTCGTTTCGCAGGTTATCATAAGACCATATGAGAGAGCAAAACCACAGAATGTATTCCATGCAATACACTGCTGTTCTCAGAGGCTATCCGTCTGAAATGATTTCTTCCAAATAAATGAATGAAATAAAAATGGCAAAAGAAACGCCAAGAAAGTTATATATATATATATATATATATATATATATATATATATATATATATATATATATATATATATATATATATATATATATATAGAGAGAGAGAGAGAGAGAGAGAGAGAGAGAGGAAGGTTCAAGTGCGGCAGTGCACTTAGGTGCGGCGATGCGGTTAATTGTAGGCCATTAGATTAGATAAATCCAACGAATCACATTCATCAAGGCTTTTTCGATATTTTCGCGCGCATTCTCACAGTACGCGAACTGCAAGGTTAAAGTCGTCATTGGGCACCAGAATATATCAAATCATAGTGTTGTGTGTTTTATGTTCATTATTGGTGCATTATTAACCTTATTGTGGTGTATTTGAGAATTCGTGTTGGTGTCTTCCCGAGCGGTCAGTGCGACCGCACTAATAGTTATACAAATACTTGATTTCCTTAACAAACTTCTAAATAACCTGAAAGAGAAGGGAAGGAGGAAACACAGGCTACTAGCATGGTAGGATTTGCCATCAAACTTATGAAATAATTCAAAAAAATTGATCGGGAAGATTCATTGTGTATTTTATTTCGTTTCCTTCCTTATCAGAGAGGGGCCGACTCTAATCTCAGGCTTCATTGGTAAGGTAAGGAAGCTACGCAGCTTCAACATCGAATCGGGCAATTCCTCTTCAAGCCCTTGTGACATCAACAAACAAAGCGAGTTTAGGGCGAACAGCTGCTTTTTCGGAGATGACTTCTGTCAATAGGCAAGTAGCGCTTTTCATATGAGTAGTAGGGCGAGAGAAGATAGGGATTTGCGGAAAGACGAGACCTTTTAGATTCTAAAAAACAAAACAAGCAACGGCTTCTAGTTTAGACTAGCGCTACAACGCTGATTTCTGCTCGTAGTTCCTCTCTAGTTAGTGTACTCGTGGTACTCGGTAGTGCGCTCGTGATACAGTACTCGCGCAACAGCGCTTATCCCAACAGGTTTGATGTTAAGAAAAGATCTCTTGCAGGAAGGTTGGCTATAGATTTCTTGTAACACCATCCATGTTAGAAAATGCACACCAAAAAAACATGCACAAATTCGATACGCATCACCAGAACGCACCACTAGGTATGACTAAAAGCATCACAGAGTGTTCAGAATACACCATTGGGGTGGTGAGTTATATGGTGTATTTTTTGGGTGTGTTGTGTGTTTTTTGGTGTATTTGTGCATTTCATTGTGGTGCTTTTTCCTAACACTATTGATGTCTTTTGTTAACACTGTTGGTGTATTCTGACAAGCGACCGATATAAAAAACTACTACAATTACCGTAATACCCCCCACTTACCAGGACGCGCTTAAATCTTTAAATCTTCGGAAATTAGCCGCTGCCGTTAGATTAAGCAAAATTAACGACGCTGATATGACCGCACCGCCGCACCTAAAGCCACTGCCGCATATGAGCCTTATTCTATATATATATATATATATATATATATATATATATATATATATATATATATATATATATATATATATATATATATATATATATATATATATATATATATATATATATATATATATATAATAGATCAAATGCGAATGAGCTCTCGGATAAAAAATGGGATAAAATATCAACCATTGATCTATCAAAAATCAACCGTCCAGAATGAAGAAAAAAATAGTAGTATTATGGTAATTTTGTGTAAGTTCAATTTTTTTTTTT